CCCCAAAACCCCAAAACCCCAAAACCCCAAAACCCCAAAACCCCAAAACCCCTATTCCTTGGAATTAAGTTGAAAATACAGAGGTTGTTTTGCTCTCCAAAATCCCCCATATTTTGTCTGTGTGGCGAGAGGCAACCGAACTTTCAAAGTTATCGCCTACAAGTTAGTGTAGCTTGACGATTAGCTGGTAGAGAGACCTCTTCATGTCTCTTCCCACACTAGTGTCGTCGAGCAATTTGGAACATAGGTCGTAAATGTGCTTGGTCACTTGAGGCTGCCTTGACTTTGTACACAATTTCGACGATTTTGCAGATCATTCCAAGAATGATGGCTCTGGCCTTGGCTTTACCCTGAAGGATCTGGTGGCACATCCACTGGATGAACACCTAACACTCGAGTTCTTCGTTCAGAACAAGTTTACTTCTTAGGGCGATGTCTCAGTTCTTTACCATGGCGTTCGACTACACAATGTTGGCTGAAAGTCCTTCGATGACCAAGCTGGCGCCCTTCTCGATGGATATTTTTATCTCAGACATTACGTTATGAAGATGTCTTGGGCAGCTGTCACGATTTTGGTGTTGTTGTCGTTCAAGTACTGGACCATCACATCGATGATCTGAGAGAACTTATTGCTTTTGTTGATCAGCTTTTCTTCTTGGATGAAGTTAGAAAGCGATTTCAGTGCAGACACTCGTTTCTTCTAGTCGGTTTCCTGGAACATGCAGATGGTTTTATGGAACTTCTCTTGCGTTTCGGTGCTGATGAGCTCAAAGTTGGTTTTGCCATAACCAGTGGCCGAACTCTTCTTGTAGATCGAAGACTTAGATTTGGAGAACCTTGAGCCAGTGGACCCCATACCTCCGTAGTCTCCAGCTACAGATGCCTTCGGCTTGCTGGCTCGCTTTTTGTTGCAGTAGAAAGTGACTTTAGTCGAAATTCCATTTGTAATCATGGATTTTCCCCTGCTGGTTGACTCTTTTTCTAAGAAATCAATCACTTTGGTGTAGTTACACTCGGTGGTCAACCTCATGGCGAGTTTCTCGAACTCAGCATTTTTCATCCAGGACTTCAGAATCAAGGACTCTGACTTGGCAGCATTTCTGATTTCAAGAGCTGCCTCATTCATGCCTGAAGCAAGGAAAGCCACAATACGCTCTCTGTCTTTGAAAGTCTTGAATTAGCCCTTGAAGCTTTTCGATAATATGTTGACTGCAACAAGGATTTTCTCTTTGACTCCATTAGTTCTGGCTTTGGACAGAGACAGCTCTGCAGATGCAAGCTTCGACTCTGATCAGTTCTCGCAAGCCTTGACCAGAGCTTTCTCGGCTTCTTCGGCGATGAAGGCGTTGGTGACAGCAGCCTTATTTTAGAAGCATGGGGATGACGTTCTTGAGAACTCAGTCGACCTTCTTGTCAAAATTCTCAAATATGATTGCTAAGGCTCCAAGGGCGTTTCTTGAAAGCTGAGTTCTCAGTGAATTTCACAAGTCTGAAAGCTTAGATAGATATATGTTTAGAATTCTGAAAATAAGATATATAGTATAGAAATCCACCCAAGCAGCCTAAATAAAAAACCTCAGTTCAGCTATGATGTCACTAAAGTTGGGATCAGAATTCTAAAATAGACCAGCACGCCAAGCAGAAAATTCTTTGATTATGTTGCAACCTCTGAACTGCTTCTCCCAATATTCTTTGCTTCTGAGATCAGAGGCAATCTGCTTCCATTAGGCCTCTGGATACAGCAACTTATCTTTCTTGCCTTCTCTGTCATCGATGGAGTGAACCCGTTCGCTTCCGCTTCCTCTGGTCTTTTTGCCTTTGGGTGGAGGCTTCTTCTGTGAAAGAGAGTTCTTGGCTCTTTTGTGTGAGTCAATGCTTTTGTTAGACATCTGGGAGTACCTGTGATGCCTTCTTTCAATCTACGAGTCGTCATCTACACTTCTTGAGAGGTCACTATACATGGACTCTGACTGGTTCGATATCGGCTTGATTAGGGTCACAGGTTTAATGGGGCCTCCATCAGGAATTGGTTTGCAGCAAAGTTATCTGCTTTGTTAGACACGTAATCTGTGAGTCTGTCCTTGTGCATGTTACTTTGGCTGTACTCGGTCCTGTTATGAGCATCCATCGCTGATTTGGCTTCTTCTTAATACTCGTTTTGAACTGCATGACTTTTGGATTGAGGTTGGCCGAACGAGTTCGTGTTGGAGGCACCCACATTCATGCTGTGAGCAATCATCGAGGGTTGTTGACGCTTCCAAACCGTCTCTGGCTGCTCTTATGTGCCTCTGGGTGTAGTCCAAGTTGTTGTTCACGGTGTTGCTAATGTTGTGATCATATTTGCATTCGTTGCTGACTTTGTTGGAATACTGGATCGGAGTTTACATAATTGGTTCCTTGGAGACCTTGGCTGGTTGCTCATTTTTGATGTTGCTCGCTGTCATGTTGAAACCAGACAATCAGTTTTTTTTTTCGATGCTGCTCGTGGTGCTGCCTTCTTTGTCAAAAGTGTGTTGACTATAGTTGGTGACTCTTGGCTTGTCATCAAGAGCTGTACTTTGGTGGTAAAAATTTTGAGAGTACACTGTCTGATCTTTGCTTTTCATCTGCCTATTATGATGGTTTGCAGCAACATTCTGTGACTCTTGACTCGCTGAGTAGCTTGAAGAGTAGAGCAAGTTATTTGAGTTCTGGATTTGTGAGTCGGGAACTCCACAATTCCATCGTAGTTCACTGAAGCCAGTTTGCCAGCAAAGCATTTTTCGTTGATTGAATTATAAATCTGAGCATTCAGGTAGTTATTGAGGATGATGGGAATGCTGGAGTCTTTGGACAGAACAATGCACAGCGTCTCAAAGGCAGTCTGACTTACTTTATCTTTGGGGTTATTGGTCATGCTTCAAATCTGACTGATCATCTCGGGCTCAGACAAACCTCACGTTGAGTTTGAAGCGATGCAGGCCATGGTTAAGATGATATGAATTTCTTCACAGATGTGCCAGTTATCGCTCTTAAGGAACGGATGAACCAGCTTAACAATTTCTTCAGCTCCAAGAGAAACTACAAGCACATGGAACACTTTGAGCACTGCATGCCTTATCACAATTTTGTTTTCGGAGAGTTATTGGACAAATTATTTATTAGTTCAGGCAAAACGTTGGCAATCTCTTTGGGGTACTTCATGAAGAGGTTGTGAATGACCTCAGAGAAGCCAACGATATTTTGAAGTTTCTATCATCAATCATCTTGCTCATTTTCTTTCAAATGTCGGTGATGTAGATTTGGAAGTCTTCGTTCGGCCTTGAAAACTGCTTATTTCATTAAAGTTTCAGCTTCTTGTGGTGCGGAAACTCTGTTTTTCCACTCTTTCTGGTCGTTGAGCTTTTCTGCTACATCAAGAGGCTTGAATGAAAAAACCAGTCAGTTCAAAGCAACAGGGAACTCTTCCTCGTTACTTTAATCATCAGACTCGCTGGGTTCGCTAGAGTCTTGCTTCTCAACACGGATGTTGCCTAGGCTGCTGAGAGACTTCTTGGAGGTCTCCTCTGGCTCTGTCTGCAACTTTAGATGAACCAAAGTGTTGGCTGTCAGAGTGGGGCCTTGGTTACTTTCTTCACCAAAGCTGTTCATGATATCGTATCTCCGGATTGTGTTGGGAGCTTGCTTTCCAATCAAGGGCTTTGTCTTCTGCTGCTTCTATACAACAATGGTTTAATGCTACTTTTCTATACGAGGCTTCATGATGCTTGGAGACTACTTCAGAGAGTCCAGGTCCATGATCTCAGGCATGCTGGTTAGTGAAGACTGGGAAGCAGAAGCGCTTATTGGAGTCCTCCCTACTTGCATCACATCCTGCTTTGCCTGATGATTCAAAGGCTATTTAGGGACACTCTTCTGGCTTCATTCCTAAGTGAGCTTCTTCTGATTTTTGAGAAAGTGAAAGTTGTTAATCGACTTCCTTGACTGCTCGTTTGAAGCAGCAGCGATGCCTCCGTTATTTGAATTAAAGACGTGGGTGTTCGAAAGAGACTTGGGTTCTTGCTCTTTGAATTTCGAAGGTCTTTGCTTGTAGCCATTGCTGTTCTTGCTGCTTTTATTATCATTGGTATCGTTTCTGACATCTCTCGTACTGTCTGAAGTGAACTTGCTTCTGGTCCTATCCTTAGATGGGACTGCCTCGTGCCCATAACTTTGCTCCTGAGGGTTCAAAGAGTACGGAGCACAAGCACTGGATTTCTTCGAAGTATCTCTGACATAGAAAGGCTTTAATTTGGCAGATGCAATTTTAGGTTTTGACTTTGAAATATGCTGAGAACTGCCTTGCTTGTCTTGGTGAACCAGTATCTCAGAGTCATGCCTGACAGAAAGTCTTTCCTCATGATCTCGATAATCTGGAAGAGTGGCTTTCTCAGGAGTGGTCTGTCTGGCTGCTCTTCTGTTAGAATTCTGAGACTAGTTAGGCTGGTATGTACTTGAAAGCTGTATTAAATATGAACAAGCCAGCCGAGAAAGATATTAAGATTAACTACAATGACGAGGCTATGGGTTCATCGGCATCAGCTCCGACCCTGAAGCTGCTGAGTTAAGAAAGAAAGTCGTCATTCCTTACTTCAAAGACATCTTCAAAAGTTTGTCTTGATCTAACAAGTACCAGGAAAAGAATGTGGACAAGGTCACCTTCTTGCAGTATACCAACCTGCCAGGGATCCTCGGAGATAGGATCTGCGCCATCCTTGATGAAGACGAGGACGGACTGCTAGATCTCAAAGAATTCATCGGAGGACTCTTCACGATATACTTTTCGTCTTTCGAGATTAAGTAAGTCATCAACTAGCTTGCTCTCATTCCTTTTGACTGAGTTTTAGATATTTAGAAGTGAGCTAGGACCATTCCTTGATAAAAAATTGATTTGGCTCAACTTGCTTCAGACTGTTAACTTCGTCTAGGTGCCAGTTTGTGTTTGATATCTACGAATATCTACGACTTCGGTGGAGAGGGAGAAATCTCAAGATAAGATGCCAGGATAATCCTCCCTTACATCCCTCAGGTCTCCCAGACTATCAAGGAGCTCGAGAGGTAGCTCGAGCCAGAAGACAAGATCAGGAAGAAAATTTTCGAGAACCGTATTAGTGCCCAAGGGCAGATCGGGGAACTCTGTGATGCTGTTTTCAAAAAAGGCGACAAGAACATCATCAAGGACCTCAAGAGCTTCATGGTCATTGTTGAAAAAGACTGCTCAGACCTTCTGGTTTCCATTTTGCCTGTGATCCGAGACTGTTTGTCTTGCACAGATACTTTTTGAGAAACTATGCATGAGTATTACAAGCAGAAAGACGGAGCTGATTTTTCTAAAACAGGGGCTCCATCTCTCAAGTTTTTGAAGCAGTTTTATCTCAAAGGTGACAAGTCGCTGTCCAAAAGCATGTTCGGTGCTGCTGCCACAAATGCTAAACTCTGTAAAGCAAGCCCAGACATTTTCTCAGAGTTCGACATTGGAAACAACATTGATGAAATTCCACAAGAGTTTGTAAAAGAAGATGAGAAGACGAAGAAGTGAGAAGAGCGCATGAACGAGACTGGTAGTCCACAGGTTCACGGTGACGCAATCAGACTTGCGAACAAGACTGTCTTCGATAAAGGCGGCTCTTCAATGCTGAGGGGCACTGCTACTAAAACAGGTGAAGAAAGAAAAGAGCATTTCTCTTCACCACGCCGAATTCTCAGCAGCAATCATGAAGATGAGAAAGATGCTGGCGAAGATGTAGTCACTCACAGCAGAATCGTGCAGAGAGAGTCTGGTGAGCGCAAACTCAAAAGCTACTATTACGGACTCAGAAACAAAGACCTCTACTACTACAAGAAAGAGTCAGATGAAAAGTATACAGGAATGTATGCCCTCTAAAATGTCTTTGTGAGAGAAGAAGATCCAGAACCATACTACGGCGAGAACTAAGTGTATTCGTTCACTCTAATCTTAGTGTCCAAAGAACGCAAATTCTTCTGGCTCAAGAAAGACTAGTATTCTGAGTGAATCATCAAGCTGAAGCAATCCATCGGATACTACAGCATCACGGCCTATTACGACATTAAGAACACCATCGGCAAAGGCAAGTTTGGAAGGGTAAAACTGGTCTTTCACAAGAAGACCGACAAGAAGCCCTCCTTCAAGATTCTTAAGAAGAAAAAGATGGATTCAGAAAACTTCAAACTGTACAAGCGAAAAATCAAAATCTTAAAGATTTGCAAGAATCCCAACATCATCTGGTAGGCCCAGTGGTGATAATATAGATTGCTTGATGTCTTTGAGAACTTAGAATACATTTACATTGTGATAGAGTATTTGAGTGATGGACCGCTTCTGCAGTACTTCAAAGACAGAAAGTGCAAGCTCAAGGAGCTTAGAGTCAGAGAAATCACCCACCAGGTCGCAGCAAGCCTGTTTTATCTCAAGAGTTTCGGAATTGCTCACAGAGACATGAAAACTGACAACATCATCATGGCCACCGATGATGATAGCAGCTAGATCAAGTTGATTAACTTCGGGCAGTCCAAAATCATCGGGCCCAAGAAGAGGATCTAAGGACCCCTTCGGCACGATCCCGTACGCAGCGCCCGAGATCATCCTGAGGAGGCCGTACCCATCCAGCTTGGATATCTGGAGTCTGGAAGTGTCCGTCTTCTTCCTGCTGACTGGGTTCCACTCATTCAACCCACACGACCAGCAGGAGCTGCTCAAGAAGATCGTGAGGCAGGACCCCGACTGAGACACCGACGAGTGGGCTAGCATCAGCGACTCTGCTAAGGAACTCGTTAAAAAGCTGCTGACCAAAGACAAGGAGCAGAGAATTGAAATCGAAGAAGTCCTCGAGCTTGAGTGGATCACCGAAGGAAACGAGAAGCCCAGGCTGATGAGAAGGAACTCAGGTTCTTACCTAAAGAGACTTCAGAACTTCTCGATCACAAAGGCAAACAATGGGGAGCAGAGGGATAATTCAGCAAGGATTTATTTCTTTGTCTTTTTTTAATATTTCAAGTTAAAAGATTCGGTTTCTTTGCTATTTTTATAAATCTCAGGCCTCAAACTTAACCCTTGTGCAGTCTTTGTATATAAGCAACTAGTACGTAAAAACTGTTATAAATACATTCAGAACATCCATGAAATGAGCAAATTAATTGGGAATGATTCAATTATCCAGCTTTCTACTGGGGTTTTGGGGTTTTGGGGTTTTGGGGTTTTGGGG